TCACACCGATTGGCTTGGCTCTAGTGTCAGTGACTCTGCTGGCGTTAAGGCCCTCAACTTTTGCCTTTCTCAATCTCTAACTCAAATAGTCAACTTTCCAACTCGTTTTCCAGACAACCCTAATCATTTACCTTCTCTACTTGACTTATGTCTTGTTTTGGATCCTAGTCAGTGCTCAATTTCTCCACATTCACCCTTAGGTACTTCTGATCACGGTTTGATCTCTCTAAAACTATTATCAAATTCTTCTACTTCATCAGAATCCCCCTATCATCGTACCACATACAACTACCTTAAAGCTGACTGGGACTCTTTCCGTGATTTTCTTTGTGATGGCCCTTGGGTAGAAATCTTTCGTCTTCCTGCTGACAAATGTGCTTCTTACATAACTTTGTGGATTCAGGCTGGCATGGAATCTTTTATTCCCTCTCGACGATTCCAGGTCAAGCCTCACTCTTCTCCTTGGTTTTCCTCACATTGCGCTGCAGCAATTTCTAATCGAAACCGTTACTTCCATATCTATCAGCAAAACAATTCTCCAGAAAACAGACATCTGTTCACTATCGCCAGAAACCATTGTAAAAAGGTTTTGTCTGACGCCAAAACTCGCTATTCCCAGGTCATTAAATCTCGTATCTCATCACAAAAATTAGGCTCTCGAGACTTCTGGAGAATCTTTAACAGTATCAATAATAAGGGCAAATCTGTTATTCCTTCTCTCTTGTATGGTTCAGACTTTGTCACCTCACCTAAAGACAAAGCTGAATTGTTTGCTAAGAACTTTTCATCAATATCATCTCTTGATTCCACTAGTTGCGTTTTACCTGACATAGCTGTCAAACAGGTTGATCCCTTGCTTGACATTCGCATCACTTCAGCTTCTGTATCTAAAGTAATTTCCTGCTTAGACTCTTCAACAGCTTGTGGTCCTGACAACATTCCTGTTGTAGTCTTGCAGAGGTGTTCTCCGGAGCTTTCATCCATACTTTCTAAACTATTTAACAAGTGCTTATCAGAGTCTTGTTTTCCATCATGCTGGAAAGCAGCATCTGTTATCCCTATTTTCAAAAATTCCGGAGAGCGATTTGATTCATCTAACTACCGTCCCATTAGTCTTCTTCCTGTCATAAGCAAGGTTTTTGAATCTTTAATCAACAAACACTTAATCTCTCATCTTGAATCAAATAACTTACTTTCCGATCATCAATATGGATTTCGGTCTTCTCGTTCTACAGCTGATGTGCTAACAGTAATAACCGATAGGTTTTACCGTGCATTAGATAGAGGTGGAGAGGTTAAGGCTATCGCACTTGACATTTCTAAAGCTTTTGATAAAGTTTGGCATGCTGGTCTTCTCCATAAGCTTTCTTCTTATGGTGTAGCTGGTAACGTCTTTAAGATTATTGAGTCCTTTCTTTCCAATCGTAGTATAAAAGTTGTCCTCGATGGACAACACTCTTCTTCACATCCTGTAACTTCAGGGGTTCCTCAAGGTTCAATCCTTGGCCCTATACTCTTTTTAATTTACATTAATGATCTTCCAGATATTCTCACATCTAAGGTGGCATTATTCGCTGACGACACTACCATTTACTCTTGTCATGATAAGAAGCCTACACTCTCTGATTGCTTGGAGGGGGTATCTGAGCTTGAAAAGGATCTCACTTCTGCTACAGCATGGGGCTCACAGTGGCTGGTGAACTTTAATTCAGATAAAACTCAATTTTATTCGGCCAATTGTTATCGTAATAATTTAGATCTTCCTATATTTATGAATGGTAATGTACTAGATGAGTCATCTACCATTTATCTTCTAGGATTAACTCTTACTTCTGATCTTTCTTTTAAACCGTATATCAAATCCATTGCAAAATTAGCATCTGCTAAGGTTGCATCTCTTTATCGAGCTCGACACTTTCTTACTCCAGATTCTATTCTCTATCTCTATAAATCTCAAATCCGTCCCTGTATGGAATACTGTTGCCACATCTGGGGCGGATCTTCTAATGATGCTCTTTCTCTTTTAGACAAGGTGCATAAACGAATTGTAAACATAGTTGGACCTGCTCTGGCAGCCAATCTCCAACCTTTGTCACATCGTCGTAATGTTGCTTCTCTTTCTCTTTTCTACAAATACTATAATGGGCACTGCTCTAAAGAGCTAGCGTCCCTTGTGCCATCTACTAAAATTCATTTTCGTGTTACTCGCCATTCAATTAAGTCTCATCCTTTTTCTGTGACTGTTCCTAAGTGCTTCAAAAACTCTTATTCTTCTAGTTTTTTTCCTCGAACATCAGTTCTTTGGAATTCGCTTCCTTCATCTTGCTTTCCTGATTCATATAATTTGCAATCTTTTAAGTCATCAGTCAATCGTTATCTTGCTCTACAGATTTAGTCTTTTCTCTTCCAGTAACTTCCAACTCTTATAGTGGTTGCTTGCAGCCTTGTTGGAAGTGAAGATGTTAAAAAAAAAAAAAAAAAAAAAAAAAAAAAATCTTTTGTAACGTATTTTAGTTTAAAAATCCAACTGTATGAGCTGAAATATTACATTTAAAGTTAAAAAAATTTTGATAGTTAAATAAATAGTATGTTACCATATATGATGTATTTTCAATTTTATATATAAGTTTCATCATACTATCAAGATGTCATTAAAATATTATATAAATATAAATATATATATATATATATTATATATATATATATATATATATATATATATATTATATATATATATATATATATATATATATATATATATATATATATATATATATATATATATATATATATATATATATATATATATATATATATATATATATATATATGCAAACATAATTGGTATTGTAAGTTGAGGCATTTAAAAAATTTCAATTCACTTTTTTAAAAATGAAATTTTTCACTTCTCATTTTAATCTTCTTTACTTGTGAGAAAAATAAGTGAATTTAATGGTTATGCCCTTTTTGCATATCTGATCTGTTGATTTATATATCTAAAAAAAAATGTTTTCAGGTGCAATTTTTTTTCATTAAGAAAAACTTTATTTATTATTAAGTGTTTTTATTTATAACATACTTATGACACACATTTAAAAATCAAAAAAAAAATAATAATAAATTTTGTTTATAACTCATAAATAAAATTTCTCTTATTTTTTGTTAGAATGGTTAAATTTCAATTTCACAAAATGTTCAGTCTCAAATTAATTTTTTTTTTTTTAAATCTGTACTTTTTTAAAATATATTAGTAAATTATAAAAAATAGACCTCTGAAGAGCTTTTAGTACTTATTATTGTTAACATACTGGAGGGTAATGTCCAATATCATCTTTGTGTTACTGTTACCAGCTTCCAATCTTTGCGTTATTGTTAGAATCTTTGTTTTAAAAAGTATTGGGTGATCATATAAATTGATAAATTTAAATTTTTTAAATTCAATTTTTAATTTGGGCCACATAAACATTTATTTTAATCAAAATTTTTTTACTTTTATAATAATATAATCTGTAACATGTAAAATACATGTAACACACATTGCATATACAATGTTTTGATAACTTACATTACAAACAAAATGTGTTTTAGTAAATATTTTGTTGACACATTTATTTTTTTATCTGCGTTTAGAAATTTTATTTCAGTTTCGTTTGAATTAAATTTAAAATATTAGAGTTTTAAACTTTGTTAATTTTCTAAATTACTGGTAATCGGTTAGTTTGCTGTTAATTTCGCTTTTTTTTATTGCTATAACAACCAGTAAAATTTTAATTCAAATCTTGATTAATTATATTCAAATTTTAAGAAGAGTTTTTATTAATCTTGTTAAATAATCTTTAATTAAAATATTGTCAGCAGATAAAACATAAAAACATAAATAAAAAGTTTTTAACTTTCTATCTTAAACTACTGTTAAATACAACATAATGCTCACACAACAAATATGCAATTTATTTTTAATGTATGCCAGTTGCTATGGTTATATATCTCAATTATTTTTGATTTTAAATGATTTTTTTGCACATTTTTAAAGAAAATAACTTTCCTTTATTTTAGGCATTGTGCACTCATCCACAAAGTTTTAATTTAAATAGCGGATACGCAACCATCGCATTTAAAAGTCAATTGTTTAACGCTAATAACAAGTTATCTGCATCTATTAACCACGAAAAATAAAAAAACTGGGCATTAAATTAATTATAAAATTTTAAAATTGTAAACTTATTTACTAGTTTCTAAATAAAGATAATAATTTGTAAAATATTGTTGATTAACATTCCTCTAACAAATGTCTAATGTTTATCTATCTTTTTAATGTTTTACTATTTATTGTCAAACTACCTATCAATCCAATACTTTATTTTTTAATATTTATCCAGTACTTTCTATCTTATCTGTCAAGTCATATCTTTCGGATATCTTTAGATTATATTTAGCGTAGACAAATAAAATAAAAAATGTACGTTTGTTGAAGTACGTTATGTACCTTTTAATAAAATGAAAAAAATCTTTTTAAAGCTTTTTTACATTTTTTTTTTTTTTTTTTTAAATCTCATTTTAATAATGGTAAAAACAAGATTTTTAAAACACATTTTTCTTTTAAGAGAGAATTTTTTTTTTGGGAGATAATAATAAATGAGAAAATTAGTTCTTTAAATTTCTGTAAATTATATTAAAAATCTTGTATATTTATAGAGTATATATTTTCATAAAATAATTATTGTGTATGAAGGCTTGATTTTATTAATGCATTATAATTTTTAGATGATAACTTATTTAATGAAGTAAAAAATTTAAAAACTTTTATGTTGAGATTTTTGAAAATGGATTTTAATTGACTTTTTTTTTTTTTTTTACAAGATTCTTTAAGTTTCAGTGTATTTTGTTAGTTAGGCAATTGTGTTAGATATGTTTTGGTAGGTATTTTTATATTTTATTTAATTTTTGTTTTACATTTTTAACTATTTATTTTAGTTTATAAAATTTTTTTTTAATTTTAGAAAACACAAATTTTAAGCTATTGGTTGAATCTGATTATGGCTGGAGGTTCAACCAAG